CAGTTTTCACGGCTCCATGATATTTATGCATCTGCAGCGCCAGATGCATCGCGTATCATTTTATTCGCTACAGCCACCTCGTACTCATCACGTTCGATGTTTCAAGAACTGGTACTCCTTACGGAGCCCTGTGCATTATATTTGTATTGTTACACCATTGGTCAGTGATTGATGAAATGTTGGTCTGTGCTAGGTTTACATGCTGTTTCCTCTATGTATTTTAAACAGATAGATAATTGATGCCTATCTTATTTTAAGGCATCATGCCGCCCACTATGTCGAGTTTTTTGTAATCTGCTTTTATGATGCATATCCTATTTTTTCGTAATCTTTCGAAGCTTTCGACCTGCACGGAATCACGATTTATCACTTTGCACTTTCCGATTGCGCAGCTTTTCTTGAGAGGTCGAAGCGTTTAAATGATCCGCATCACCTGTTCTAAACATCTTCAGAGTGTTAAAGTCATGTGATTTTTCTGATATGATGGATTGCTTTTTAACTCTTTTCTGTATCTTTATTGGGCATTTATTTTGTTATATATTTGCATGATCTTCGGTCTCTTTTCTAGTTCTGAAGTCGTTAGGTCACACAGCATCACCTCTGTAAGTGTTGCTGACTCGTATTGCTCCATGTCAGTACTATGATATACTTGTTATGCAGTATATATCCTATTATTGTATTGGTACTTTTTTGTTTTTTCCGCTTCAAGTTGTGGTAAGGGTTGTCCATTTCATTATACTGTCATATTATGTAGTCAGGCAGTCATATTTTTCTGTATCGACCAACTGTTGATGATTTTTCAGCGGTCGTTCGTCGGCATATAGTGTAGGCATGTACAGTAACATAAATGGTATGAATAGAAGTCAATGATGAGAGCATGTGTAGAATGGCACAATGCCAGCTAGCCTTTTACGGGCGCATCCTATGCAAAATGGATTGTTGTTTAAAAATGTTGTGACTTCTGCCTATAGTCTGAAAATGCTGTAGATTGATGCTGCCTTTCAAACGATGAAAGCTTATTCATTAATTTGGTACTGAATGGATGTAATGAAACTTTGTTAAAGATTAGACGATGTCCTATCATCAAAAAGGTACGATAGACTGCTAACTCTGACTAATCTTACGGTATTGTTCCTTCCCTCTTTTTCTGCGTACTGGTCACTCATAGTCATTTACTGTTTCAGCCGCCATCTGCCTCATCGCCGTCTCCAGTTCCGTCAGTTTGTCAGTGCCATACTTCATGGGCCGTATCATCGACATGATCTTCGCCGGCGACGACGTCCACAGCGTTGACCCTCATTCGACCACGTCGACCGCCGCTGTGCTGTCTGCTGACCAGCAGAAACGTAACAAAGTGCTCTCTAAGCTGAGAAACTTCTGCGCCGTACTAATCGCTATCT